ATTCTCATAACCCCATAATAACTTTCGTATAACATATAACAATCTCATGGAACTTTATATGTTCTTCCAAATAAGCTTGAAAAGTTAACTTGAATTTTAGAAGGATAACCTAACCTTGTTGAAATTCATAACAACTTTAAGGTGACTTACTTATTTCCTAACTTGGTTCCTAGATAATTTATAAAAGAAATATTTCAAAAACCAAGTGTTCTAATAGTTTACATTTAAATTATATTTGAGAGTTTTGAAGATCCTGAGCTACTTTAAAGATATTTTTTAATAATAATCTTAGTGGAGAAAGAGGGCTGGTCACAAGTAGTAAGGGTCTCGCGAGACATTTTAAGTCACATCACTCAAGGAAGAATACGAATTCATACGTGCGGACATATAATCAAGGAAACTGATAAAATGACATGTAGATGTCGAACACTCTATTTATCCGAACGAGTGAAATATCAAAATTATAGAATCATGAAAATAATTCAGCTGAGATCCCAATGCCTTTCACCGAAGGTCTTTCTAGCAAGAGAATAGCAAAATATCACATTCGGTGTTTTAGGAATTTCCCAGGAGTGGTGCTAAAATAAGGGACGTAGCTTCGCCTTAACATACCTTTTTAATGAACGCTCGAATGGCCGTAGCTTCTTAATGAAAGTTGTTCCTTCCGTCCTAAACTTTACAAACACTATATATACACAGTTGGTACACACATATAAACAGTTCATAATTGTTCTTAAATCGGCAGATTTGCCAAATGGCCTCAACTTGACGAAATGTCTGTAGAACTTCATAAAAACAATCATAAAAGAGTCCCGGGATGATTACCTTAGTTAAACGAGTGTAAACCTTGAAGAAACACCAATAACTACAAATTTATATCTTCAAAAACTTGCTCCAAATGCAGCTAATAGAAGGGGAAAATGATTGCCACGTGTAGAGATCACGTTTCTAGGCACGGGGAAAATATTTAATGGTAAAAATCGTCAAAAACTGACCTTCATAATGCAATTACTCCATAGGAACCCTCTCTTGAGCTTTCTTTCTGGTTTGGAAGAAAATGAAATGTCGACATACCACATTTTTTACCCGACCCGGATTCTGCTCCGGCAGTCCGTAGTAAAACCCTCATAATTGTTTACTCCGATGTCGGTTGGATATAGGGTTTTGTGCGTTGTAAACTAGACTCGTAGGCCTTCGATTTAGTGGGTGATAGGCCTTCTAACTCTTTATATATTGGGAGAAAACATCCAAGACATTTGACCTAAAGTTAAGAAAATATTATTAGAGAAACTTCTATAACTTTTGCCGACTTTTGTTTCACTAATTTTCTTGACTTCCAAACTTAACATACGACCCTTGTGCTATTATAATACCTCATAACACACTATTCTTAGAATGTTGTACACTCATAGGCTTATCCACAAGGTATGGGACAAGTTAAACCTTTCAAACGGGTGAAGTTCTACCTGAGGCATTTCTTTTATCATGAACTTTTTTTGAGGGGTCCCTTTGACCTAAAACTTTAGTTTAGTTCCTTGATTTTTCCACCTACTTGCAATATTAATCTCCAATGTATGATACAAAGTCATATACACCTAATATAACCATGCCATACTACGCCACATATATTATGCCCAATTAGAGAAAAAGTACGGGATCTTACAGTTATTTTAAGGGTCTTTTGAGTCTTTTCCCTAATTATTTTAAATAAAAACTAAGTGGTTTTGTCCTTTATCCTAAGACCTATATAAGGATTTTAGATCCTAAAACTACCCACTTCAACCCCATCCCCCTAAAAAGAAAAACCTAACCAAAATCATCTTCCCCAAATTATCTCAAGACTAAGGAAGGAGAAGAAGCTAGGGTCAATTCAAGTTCATCAATCCTCCATTCTTTTTGGGGCTTCAAGCATCAAGATATGTGGATATTCATTCATGGAGTCCATTCATTCATGGGGCCCCAAAGCTTCCAATTTCTCAATCTCAAATTCAATAGTTAAGTTAGGGTTTCAATTCAACCTTTAAGGGTTTCATTTAATTATGATTGATTATTGTTAATTAAGTCTTCTTATGTATGATTCAATGTTAATACATGATATTGAGTTGAAACTATGTTGACCCTTGTCTAAATTATGATTTTCGACTATAAACCTATGATGAACTCATGAACCTATGAACTATCAATTTATCAAGATATGCATATTTTATGAAATTATTCTTTATAATTTTGGGTTGCTTTTAAAGGAAAGAATTAATGTTATTGTGAAAGGTTTTCTCACATGCGATTATGATCATAGTTGCGAAAGGTAATTCTCACTTATGGACCCACATTGGTGAAAAGTTTTCTCATCTATGTTGAATTATGTTTAAGGATCTACTCTATGTTTTGATCTTGAAAGATGGGGTTTGGTATTGATCATTTCCTTTCTTATGTTATATCGATATTTGACTTTTATCAATTCTATTGGGATTAAGACTTAGCACTGAGAGGGCTTTGAGGTGGAGGCTTAATTAGGGTAGTGTCTTGTAGCAACCTCTAGTCCCAAACTACATGCCCCCGTAGAATTGTCTTAAATGACCTAGCTAGTGGATCCACTTTATCTAAAGATGATATGTACGGATTTTATCTTGGCAAGTAGATTCTCCTTCTTTTGGTATAAGGGATATACCGGATTTCATGATATAACTCTCATTGTCTTATTGTCAGTTAAAGCTAATATCCCGCAAAATGACTATGTATCTACAAAGCTTTTCTTATGTCCTTTATGTTAATGTATTTGACCATATTTCATGATTCACATATCATTTCTTGTTTAAGTCCTTAAATGTTCAAAAAAAGATCACGCTGGCATGTTTTTAAGTCTTCATGCTATCATGTCTATTTTATGCATATTGTCCCATACTTAGTACATTCCATGTACTAATGCATACTTGTGCTTACATTGTTTCACTAATGCAGGGTTTGACGCTCCTACCTCCCATACTCGTGGCTAGTTGGTTTTCATTGGTTTCAAAAATTTGTGAATCCTCTCCTCATGATTCGAGGATCGAGATACTTTTATAGCTTTATGTCATTTTCATTTTCAGACTTTGTATGTGATGTATTGGTTACATCTCAATTACTTTCCTTATGATGTATTAGATGGCTTATTGAGACGTATGATAGACTTCCATTTTGTCGGAACTCTTTGAAATATAAAATGCTATCTTTTAAATTTGTTAATTTCCATTATTTTGTATGATATATGCTAAGTGGCTTGTGCAGTTTCGAGGTCCTATACGCCATGCTACTCCTAGGGTACACTTTGGATAGTGACAGAAAGGGATTATACCATCACTTAGGGGTCGTTTGGTAGAGTGTATTAGAGAAAACTAATGCATGCATTAGGTGTGTGTATTAGTAATACCTTGTTTGGTACACTTTTTTAAGTCATGTATAACTAATGCAAGCATTAGTTATACACTATATTGTGTATAAGGTTGTGTATTACTAATACCAAGAAATTCTAGGTATTAGTAATGCATAACACACTTGCATTAGATTATATAATTACAAAACTACCCTCAAAGTCTATTAAAAAAACATTTTCCATAGTACTTGTTTTAGAAACCTTTCATCTTCTTGTACTTTGTCAATGGAAATTCAAGAGTGAGTTTCTTCTTCCTTCTGCTCAATCAAACATTGTTTGCTCATCTCCACAAGGTTAGTACTCTTATCTTTCATTAAAATCTATATCTTTCATTATTATTTGATTTTTCTACCTCTATTTCACAATTGGGTATAATTCTTTCTCTGTCAATATCAACGATTTTGAGTTTGCCAACCATTTTAGAATGCAATCAAAGTGTTTTGTTAATTTTAATTTAGAAAATAGTTGGGAAATATGGTGGCAAAAATGTGAAGAAGTTTGACATCTTCTTCTTCTTCTTTTTTTCAAATCTTATTTCAATATAGTAACAACTATATAATTTTATATTTGAAAAAAAAAAAAGAATAGGAGTAAATGATGTTTTAGCAAAGAAATATTTTTTGATGTTTTAGCAAAGAACCTTGTTGCAAAGGAAGTGTAGAAAGAAATAAAATGTGAAGGGTATTTTTGTAAACATACATTTTTTTAATAGAAATTATGCAAGATTTATTATTTCTAATACATCAAATCAAACAGTGTATAAGAAATAATGCAGGCATTACTAATGCAAGCACTACTAATGCAAGCATTACTAATACACCCTATTTTGCATTATTCTTATACACTCTACCAAACGACCCCTTAGAGTGTTGAAAGAATTACTCATCTCTATGAAAGAATTATGCATCTCTGTGGAGAATGATAGTTCTTGTTTATGCGCCGAGCAGTTTAAAGAAACTTCTTTACTTATCTTTTTTTATTGAAAGTAGATATATGAAGTTAAAATAGCTCTGTCAGAGTGGGCTAGAATGTAAATTTCAATCAAGGAAGTTCATCAAGTTCTAAGAAAGATAAAGACCAAGCATTGAAAATAGTTTCAAGAGACGTACCTAGCAACAATATGGAATGCTGCAGTTTATCATATTTGGAGTACAAAGAACTAAAAATTTATAAAGGAATTAGAGTGAATTAAAATTTAGTCCGTCTCATAAAGAATGTCCGTTTAATTTTAATTGTTTTTTACCTTAAATAAAATAAATATTAACTACACAAATATCCAAAGGTTGTTTTAAATAATAAATTAAAAAGTCTTTATTTTATTTTTCTTAAAACTCATACAAATTTAAGAGTGTTACATAAATGAGTCCGAAGGAGTAGACTGTAGTTGTTACCAAAAAATATTATTTTCCCTCAATTAAACATCATCACTTAAATTGACCCAAAAGTGTATTTACAAGTATGTCCCTGCTTCTGCTTCTGCTTCTGTCAATGCTATTTATAGATGTAGCCGTGCCTCCACCGCGTTTTCCTTGGAAGAAGTGGCAACACTTTCACAGTTCACACTACACTTTCTTCTTCGAATCTAAGGTAGCCATGTCTATGAGCAATAACATTACAGCTTTCTTGAATTTTGTGGCATTTATGTGCTCCATCCCTATAATCGCCGCCGGTACATGGCTGGCTTCAAAGCCCGACAACGAATGTATCCACTGGCTTCGATGGCCGGTTGTCTTCATGGGTCTCGCCGTTATGCTTGTCTCCTTAGCTGGATTCGTCGGTGCTTATTGGAAAAAAGAGGGATTATTGGGTGTTTATTTGGTGTGTATGGTGATTCTCATCATCCTCTTGCTCGTGCTCCTTGTTCTTGCTTTTGTCGTCACGCGCCCTAACGGCGAGTATTCTGTACCCGGTAAGGGTTATAGAGAGTACAGGCTTGCAGGTTTCTCATCATGGCTGAGGAATCGAATTACAGATGGTGATAGTTGGGGGAATATAAGGGCGTGTTTGGCTGTTTCTGATATTTGTCCTAAGCTTAATACTGAGATTATTACTGCTGATCAATTCTTTGCTGCTCATCTATCTCCTATCAAGGTAAATTTATCTCACCTTGTTTTTTTTTAATTAATATTATCCCCATAAATTTAGCCAAGAATTATTACTTAATAGAGTAAGATTTTATGTTACAAGGGCATATGAATAAAGTGGAGGTTTTATTTTATTATTAAATATTATCGCCAAAAGAAGGCAGAGTGGGTAGTTGGGGCATCAGCGTCTGTGCTTTTGTTATTTGTCAAAAGGGCATGAATAAAGTGGAAATAAAAGAATTATTTGGTGGTTCTTCAGAGTTTGAGAAGGCAAAAGATAAAAGTGGTTAGGCATAAATTAAAATCTACTACTCTACCATTTCATTTGTTCTTATTTATATTTCGTGTTTAATATTTGTTATTTTATAAAATCAATGTATCAATGACAATGTTATTCCTATTTTACCCTTTGAGAGTTACTAGTCTTAATAGTATGAATTTGATCAACATAGGTAAATTAAATGATTAATTCAAGTTCATTTGTCAATTCTTCACCAGAAAATAAATTATCTATGTTTATTTATTGAAAACTTACTTTTAAGAGAACACTAAATAAGAATACAATGATAGACTTACTAATTAGTTTCTTAATAGGCGTGAAATCTAAAATGCTGACATATTTTATATGAACGATGGGAGTATAATTAAATATTTTTTGACAAGTTATTGGAGGTTTAATTTGACTTCAATTGGTTAATCATTACATTAGGATATTACTAATCTTAATAATTAAGTGTGCGTTAGTTATGCAAATATAATTTTAAAAAATGAAGAAAAGATAATTTGACTTCTATTGGTTAATCATTACATTAGGATATTACTAATCTTAATAATTAAGTGTGTGTTAGTTATGCAAATATAATTTTAAAAAATGAAGAAAAGATGTTGCAATATTCAAACTCAAGAAGAGTAATGATGGGATGAGATGGGACCTACCATGAGAAATTGTTGGTGAATGAAAGGATGAGTCCATGATTTTGGAAGACAATTAGTTGAGTTTGTCATCCTAATAGAGTGCAAAAACTGCATTATTGCCCATACCATCAATACAAGGTATTTATATATACATGGTGATTTTGACCCACTTGTCCAATTTATCAGCTGGTTTTAGAATGATGAATAATCTAGATTTATCTATCTGATAATGTAATATATATGTACTTGGTGCCAAATGCTAGATTCTATTTGTGTCGCAAGAAATAACTATTGGCCGATATAAATGTTGCTCATACATATTCATTGCCCTCAAATGGCCTCAATTATAACTTTATAGTCAAATCATACGGATTGAGGGTCGATCATAAATAATGAGATAACTAGTTTACAAGTATATTTAGCTATTTACTCACACAAGTGTTGGTGTTGTGTAAATTTTGCAGTCAGGATGTTGTAAACCTCCAACAATTTGTGGGTACCAGTATGTGAACCCAACTGTGTGGAATAACCCAACAAACACAATAGCAGATGCAGATTTCTCCATTTGGAACAACAACCCAAACCAGCTTTGCTATAACTGTGATGCGTGCAAAGCTGGTTTGTTAGGAAATCTGAGAAAAGAATGGAGGAAAGCAAATCTCATTCTCATTTTAACTGTGGTAGTTCTTATTTGGGTATATCTCATTGCTTGCAGTGCTTACAGAAATGCCCAAACTGAACAACTTTTCGAACGTTACAAACAGGGTTGGGCTTGATATTATTCTTCCCCCTTTCCACTTCTCAAAACGGTTGTAGTAATGCAGTTTGGTTGACTCTTGCATTTTAGGTTCTACTTTTTGTATTTCATTTGCACATATTATTTGTACCATCTTATCTTTGTTAAGTCATATGTGGCATTGTGCAAAACTAGTTAGTGCTTCTTTGTTTTTACTCCCTCTATTCCATACTAGATTAGATGGATATACTGAGAAGTGTACCGAAAGAGCATTTTACCCTCGTAGATTGGGTCTTTTCATTTTTCTAAGAGAGAATAACATTTTCCATGGATGCGGGTCAATTATTTTTGTGAAAAATGTACATATTATCATATATTTAGATCAAATTAAATGTTATAATTATGGTTTCATTTAAGGAAAAATTGTATATAATAGAAAACTATTAATTTAAATTAAATGTTATAAACATAGTTTGATTTAATTGTACCCCATAGCAAATTATTGTTATTTTCACCTCTCCCTGGTGGAATCTCACTCGCCACTCTCATGTTGCGCTGCCAGTCTCGCTCGCCTCTCTCGCTTTTATACAAACACAAATGTATAAAATGTATTTGTGTTTGTATAAAGCGAGAGAAAATTGTATATATACATATATTTTCGCTCCCCTATCTCCCCTCTCCCAAATCTCGCTCGCCACTCTCCAGATCTCGCTCGCCACTCTCACTCGCCTCTCTCACTCTATACAAACACAAATGTATACATTGTGTTTGTGTTTGTATAAAGCGAGAGAAAATTGTCTATACAAATACAAATACTTATATTTTCATCCTATACACATATGATTATACAAATACGATTTTTCCCTGCCCAATTTTCTTTTGTCTTTCTCTCTTTCTCGCTTTATACAAAATAGATTATACAATTGATTCTTTTGTATATGTATGCCGAAACAAATTATACAATTGCTTCTTTTGTATATATGTATAGCGAAATAGTCATAGCTTTCATTTGTATATGTATAGCGAAATATACATATTTATGTTTGCTATGGAGCACAATTATGCAAACTATAGCTATAGCATACAAATATGATTTTTGTGTTTGCTATATGTGAAAGTTGCTCTTCGTTTAATTCTATTCCGTAGCCTATATTTCACTTTTTCTTGCCATTCGGTTGGAACTTGTATATTACTATACATATAGAATTGACAAGTCTAACCCAAAGAACATATACATATACAAATAACAACAAATAAAAAATTGTATTTATATATATAATTGATAAGCCTAACACAGAAAACATACATATATAATTGAAATAAATATATAAACGTGGTTTTCATAAACACAAATGAATTAGTGCCGCGATTTGTACATATCAGAGACTCCATAGCAAACAAAATATAGCTATAGAGCGTAAATAACAAAACTCTAGTATAGAGCACTGATATATGATTATTATCTTTGCAATCCTAAAAAAAAAATCACTATTTTAGCCGAAATGATTTGTAAAGTGAAGGCTGAACATATCAACACACATTCAAAGCTGACATCATTTTTCATACAGCATAATACATAAATGTCACCTTCAACTTGACTTCAACTGACATCTATATTTTTTAATTTTGGGTGTGCATAAATAAAGGCAAAATACTTAAGTATACAAATTAAGTATCTTAATAACCAGTATATAGCAATAGCTTTTTTTACACCTATATAACAATAGTTTTTTTTTTCAAATATAGAAAATAATATTATATATAAAAAAATCATAGAAATAATAACACACGATTTTCTCAAATTACTGATTTTCTCCCATTATTTTACCTTCCACAACATACTTAGATTGGTTATATATTCTCTTCCATCAAAAAAGGTTTTTTAACCAAAATAAATCTCTCTACCTCCCTATCTTGAACGATTTTTTAATTATGGATATCAACAGTGTTTCAATTCTAATTCAACACAACGGACAATGGAAAGTATCAGGTATGTGTTATTGGAACTACTCTTATGACTCCTTTGAAGAGTTCGACTCCTACGTCAACTAGTAATCCTAAAGACAAGGGATAACTTAGTTTTAGTATATAATTAGATCTCCTAAGTCACATATAACTATACTGCTATCGTTGTATATAAATACTAGAGTAGACATAACACATTGTAAGAGTGATATAAATAATATATCCTTTGGTTCTTGCTTCTGGAGAATATCACGTTCTAACATGGTATCAGACCATACTTCGGACTCATCGTCCACTTCTCGAACGGCAGTCATGGCTCAAACAAGCAACCCATCTCCTTCTCCTCTCACCAACGCTCATCACTTTATTTCCATAAAATTAAAATCTACGAATTATATATTTTGGAAAACACAAATTTGTTCATTTCTTCGAGGACAAGAGTTTTTTGGTTACGTAGATGGAAGTTATGTATGCCCACCCTCTCATATGGCATGCAAAGATGGTGAACAAGATGTTTTCAATCCGGCATATCTTCAGTGGATCAAACAAGATCAATTGATTATGAGTCTCATTATCTCATCTCTCTCGGAGGGGACTATTCCAATCGTTATAGGGATACCCACGGCAAAATCTATTTGGGATGCTCTAGAGGCAGCCTTCTTGTCACCATCGAATACTCGAATTCTAAACCCTCATATGCAGCTTCGGAATCTTAAATAAGAGGATTTGAGCATCACTCAATATATATTCACAAGGTCAAACTACTTATCGATAAACTAGCAGTTGTTGGCCGTCCAGTTTGCCTTCGTAATCAAAATATTTATATGTTCAAGGCTCTTCGAAGTGAATTTAAAGATATTGTAACTGCTCTCTCTGCTCGACAAGAACCTGTCACCTTTAGCGAGTTACACAGCCTTTTGTTAAGCCATGAATTTATTCATGGTCAGGCACTCTCATCCTTATCTATTTCACCATCTACTATATCGGACTTGCCTGGCAATCCTTCTGCAAATTTCAGCCAGCGTGCTTCCCAAAATGAGAGCCAATACAACTAGCAAAATCGCAAAGGACGAGGTTGCAACAACAAGAGAGGTAAAGGAGGAAATCGTGGTGGCAGAAAAGGTTATCACAACAATTCATCCACCGGAAATCAGTGGTCCTGACCGGCCTCTTGCTCGCGTTGTCAAATTTGTAATGGTGTAAATCATCTTGCACCAAATTGTTTTCAGCGATACAATCACACGATCAATCCGTCAGCTTATTTGACTCATCAATCACCTCATATTGAACCCCAAAATTGGTATCCAAACAGCGGTCCTAGCCATCACATCACACCTGATCTTGCTAGCTTGCATCATGTGGAGGACTACAACGGTATTGATCAAGTTCAAGTTGGGAACGGGCAAGGGCTTCCTATTCATCACACTGTTAATTCCATGCTCTCTCTCCCTTCCAAATCCTTAGCTCTTACTAATATTCTTCATGTCCCTTCAATCACAAAACGTTTACTTTCTGTTCGGAGATTTGCTCGTGATAATGATTATTTTTTTTAATTTCATCCCTCTCATTTTATTGTTAAAGATTGAGCATCCAAGAAGCCTCTTCTTTCAGGGAAGAGTAATGATGATCTGTACTCACTCAAGCTTCAACCTTCCCAACCACGAGCAATCTCTAAGTCACTATCCGCTTTTATATCTTCCAGAACGGCATCCACGTGTTGGCATCTTCGTCTAGGTCATCCCCACAAATGAGTGCTCCATCAAGTCATCCAGAAGCATAGTTTACCTTGGTCTAGGTTTAATTTTAATCATATTTGTAGTGCTTTCCAACTTGGCAAGTCACAAAAGTCGCATCTTCCAACTTCAATTGATAAAAGCTCCTCTATTTTGCAATTATTATTTGTCGATGTTTGGGGTCCTGCTCCTCACTTATCTTCCGAGGGTCATAAATATTTTCTCGTGTTTGTTGATAATTTTTCTAATTTTTCTTGGGGATTTCCAATGAAATTAAAATCAGAAGTCACCTCAATTTTCCATCAGTTTAAGCTTCTGGTTGAAAATCACTTTCACACCAAAATTAAATCAATTCAATCAGATTAGGGTGGCAAGTTTCGTGCTCTTTCACCTATCCTCTCGCAATTCGGCATCTCTCACAGAGTCTCATGTCCTTACACCCATGAACAACAAGGCAAAGTTGAACGGAAACATTGCCATATAGTTGAAACGGGCTTAAGTCTCTTAGCTCATAGTTCCACCCCATCCCATTACTGGCACTTTTCCTTAGACACCGATGTATATCTAATAAATCAACTTCCATCACCCTCGAATAGTGGTAAGTCTCTATTTGAACTTGCATTTCACAAATCACCAGATTACTCTCTCCTAAAAGCCTTCGGATGCCTTTGTTTTCCATATCTTCGACCTTATAAAAAATACAAATTTGATTTTCGTAGCACGCCTTGTGTATTCCTTGGTTACAGCCCCAAACACATCGGGTATCGTTGTCTTAATAGAGTCTCTGGCCATTTCTATATAGCCAGGCATGTTTGCTTCGACGAAACTATATTTCCATTTACTTCAAACTCAATTCTAGGTCCTCATCCCTCTACTCTAGCAGATTTGATCCCTTGGGTATCTTCCCCTATTCCCCATCCACCAGCTAATCCAGTTGCATCGCCACCTACCTCAAATCTGCCCAATCCATTATCTACTCTTCGATGCCTAGTAATCGATCAGTCATCTAGTAACACCAGTGCTCCATCATCCCAACCGGTCATTCCTGTGGTTGTCGATCTTACGACTTCTCCCCGCCACACCAATCTACTCCGTTATCGATCTCAGCCTGTAGAAATTCCACAACGCACTCACCACATGCGTCTTAGACATATGCCTCCCTCTTCCCATTTATCCATAGTTCCATCTTCCAAGTTATCATCCCTCCATCTATCGAACCTACTAGCTTCACTGAAGCAAATAAACATAAAGTTTGGCGAGATGCTATGTCTGCGAAGATGAATGCTCTTCTACGCAATGGAACTTGGACACTTGTCCCTTTTAACTCATCCATGAATGTGCTAGGCAATAAGTGGATTTTTTGAATTAAGAAAAATTCTTTGGAAAATATCGAGCGTTACAAATCTCGTTTAGTTGCCAAAGGATTTCATCAACTAGAGGGTCAAGATTATTTTGAGACATTTAGCCCAGTTGTCAAACCTGCAACCATTCG